AAAAATAAAAACGAAATTGAATATAATAAAACAATTTTTATTCAATATAGATTATTACATAATACTTATTGACAGATTTTTATTACCACTGGTTCAAAAGAAACCTCCGTTCTGGAAAGAACCAGCTAGAAATCCAGCGGCGTTATATATTTTTAAACACATATTTAAGTTCGCAATAGTGTTGTACAATTTTTTATATGAATTAAACAGAACCAGTATGATAGCGATCACCGCATTCCCAGGGGTCATTTTTATTCAGGTATACCTTAATTTAATGATAACAATGTCTATTATGATATGAATAATGGTCGGTTGTGTTCCAGTACAAAGAGTGTAGAGCACCAGTGTAATTACAGGCTGTAAAGCTGTGAAGCATTCCGATTTAGTCCTCAGAGGTGACGCAGCATCTGTAGTGTTCCACTTATCATCACGTGAACTGCAATTTCACGTGACCAGGAACTGTAGCAGCCACTTACCATTACGTGAACTGTAATTTCACGTGAGCAGGAACCGCAACAGTCACACACCTATACGTGAACTGTAATTTCACGTGACCAGGAACTGCAGCAGTCACTTACCATCAGGTGAACTTTAATTTCACGTGACCAGGAACTGCAGCAGTCGCTCACCATCACGTGAACTATAATTTAACGTGACCAGGAACTGCAGCAGCCACTTACCATCACGTGAACTGTAATTCCACGTGACCAGGAACTGCAGCAGCCGTTCACTATGACGTGAACTGTAATTTCACATGACCAGGAACTGCAGCAGCCGCTAACTATCACGTGAACTGTAATTTCACGTGACCAGAAACTCAGCAGCCACTTACATTAGTGAACTGATTCGTGCCAGGAACGGGCATCTGCGTAATTTGTGACCGGAACTGCAGCAGCCGCTAACTATCACGTGAACCGTAATTTCACGTAACCAGGAACTGCAGCAGCCACTTACCATCACGTGAACTGTAATTTCACGTGACCAGGAACTGCAGCAGCCGCTCACTATCACGTGAACTGTAATTTCACGTAACCACGATTGCAGCAGTCACTTACCATCACGTGAACTGTAATTTCACGTGACCAGTAATTGCAGCAGCCGCTCACTATCACGTGAACTGTAATTTCACGTCCAGCACCCCCCGGAACTGTTTACTGACCAGGAACTGCAGCAGCCGCTCACTATCACTTGAACTGTAATTTTACGCGACCAGGAACTGCAGCACCCGATAACAATTACGTGAACTGTAATTTCACGTGACCAGGAACTGCAGCAGCCACTTACCATCACGTGAACTGTAATTTCACGTGATCAGGAACTGTAGCAGCCGCTCACTATCACGTGAACTGTAATTTCACGTGACCAGGAACTGCAGCAGCCACTCATTATGAAGTGGAATGGATTTTCAAGTGAACAGTTTTATAAAATTAATAACATAAAACCTGTGAAAAATACCTAGCATTGCATATGGATAGTTATTGAACAAAGAACAAGTCAATTGTCTCTTGTTATATAAGTATTAAAAATCGAATTAAAAATTTACTTTTTTCTCACTTGGCTACATTAGCTAATGTATAGCGCAAAATCTTCGTTACATTATTCGTTCGAATTCTCTAAAACTCTCCTCAAAACTCATTGTTAAATAGGTATTAATAAATAAGTTTGTAAAATTTATAATAATACTACAAATTCGGTTTAACTATCGCAGTATACATATTATAATTATATGAAATTTTGGGCAGCGTCATTATTAAAACGTAATTTTGTTTTCCTTCAGTAAATGCAAATTAAACCAATTAAAACATTTTTTGTTATCCATATTTATCGCCAAGTTAAAAAATATTCACTTAAACAAAATTAATGAAATTGACCAACTTTACGTTTTTCGCATATATTGTTAATTAGGAGAACCGTTGGCAAAACAACCCATCTTTAACCAAAATACTTCAAAGAAGTAGACGCAGTCCCTGTTGATCTAGCTTAGTATCAATCCAAATGTTCGTATAAACTATGCCTAAAGTAACCCAAAGCTATCTGACCATATTATACAAAGTGTAAGCTCATTTAGTGGTTTTAAATCTAAACTGTCTCAAAATATTATTTAAAATTATGCATCTTTTATATATTTTTTACCTATTGTTTAAAATATAACAAAATAATATTACAATTGCAAAACCGTTAGAGGAATGTTTATTTCGGTGATCAACTTAGAATAGATATTTTATGTATTCTCATGTAAGTGAATTATAATAATTCACATCATTTTAAGAAATACTTAAAGTTGCTCTCTTTTTTCATATATATAATGACAATAGAAAGAGATGTATATAGAGATAACTTATATTTAAGTAAGTGATGCCTTAAACGTAAATTTCGATCTCGATTTCGTGGTCTATACCACGGAGTCCACATGATGACATGTGAAATGGACTACGCACTCGTTTGTTATAACTTGTATAAAAAGTGTCAATTTGAAACGTGCTCGACGACAATGTATAGCGCCTTGGTACTACATCTCTGAAAAGTTAACTGTATTTCAAAGAAATGGAAAGTCTGCTGACTCGTAATCGAGCACAGTGGACGGTTTTTACTTGTGAACACCGTTATGATCTTACAAGACAGGAATCTTCTTTTTCTTGTGAGATAGTTTGGAGATAAGGCTTTTCCACAGAAAAAAGTGTTTCTATTATTTTTTACTTGTCGCTATGAATAAACGAATTATAATTTTTGCTATCATAAAATTTCTCACAGCTTAACATTTTTTGAATTGGCTTCTAAATATTTATTTTAAACTCGGCCCAAGTCGACTCGATCGTGGTGGGACCAAGCCCGCACAGAATACTAGTGTAAATATCGTGTTTCGTATGGTGAGTGTAGAGACCCGGAGACCCGGAAAATTAGTTATGAAAAAAAAAAACGTAATTCGGTTATTGTTAAATATTTTTGTACTGGAAAAGATACGATTTTCACATGAATGGTGACTACATCACTCACCTTCGATTTGCTGACGACGAGTCATTATCAGAATCCATAGAAGAACTCAGCAGTAGATATACTCAATTACCTCCATAGTGAGTAGTTACGTTGTACCAGTACCGGCTCACTGAGTCAGAAGTGGTACAAGTACAACGTTCGTCGCCTCACGATCCTAAAAAAAAAGGTTTTGGCATGCTCTGATCACGACTCTGCGGTCCATTTTTGCGTAGGATGCACGGTTCCGGAGATGTGCAGATCAATTAACTCTTATACAATTGATATCCGGTGAGGGCCTCCACCGTCATTAGCGCTCCATTGTTCTTATCTATTGTTCATTGAATACCGTCAATATCTATTCGTGCGTCGGATTATCAGTGCTATTATATTATACTCCTTTGTTTCTAACTGCAACGGTAATCTAAATCATCAATAAAATACATTACTTAATTTTGTTAAAATTCTTATTTACGACATACAAAATCTTATTACTTATTATCTATAAAATAGTAGCGAAACATCTCATCCACTAAAATATCGTTGTACAATGTGTTCCCTGTAAATATACTCGTAAAACTATGCATTGAACATCCCTGAAACTTATATAGCAAATGCATTAAGCAATATTCGCCACAAACTGATACAAAATCTTATTACTTATTATCTATAAAATAGGAGCGAAACATCTCATCCACTAAAATATCGTTGTACAATGTGTTTCCTGTAAATATACTCGTAAATCTATGCATTGAACATCCCTGAAACTTATATAGCAAATACATTAAGCAATATTCGCCACAAACTAACGTCCACTCATTCTGAATCCTATCAACATTCCAATTCCATCTTTTACAATTTCTTTTTAAAAACTCTAGATGATATCGTACAGGTGCTCGTCCGTATAAATCAAATTATTGACCGACGTCATTCGTATCGATATATAAAGCTACCCAATGTGACCCTGGTTTATCATCTGTATCCAAATTGCATATTATAAACGTTGGTACGTGGGTGTACATGGGCAGTCTATTAGCAGCATAAACATTATTTTCTAGACTGGGGTGAATCTTTTTCAGATGTTGTTGTACATCTAGTGTATCCATGATATTACTGCTATTAGTAGATTATTACAGTACAATCTACTCAATGACTAACATAGGAATGATCAATTATAGTGATTTCTAAATATTAAATTGCATTATTTTGTGTTATACAAAACGTATTTGAGTCATCAATACACTGAACAAGACGCAACACGAAGTAGTGCTGAGATAAGCAACAGAATGTGAGATAAGCTTTTTGACGTATAAAGTTACTATCAATTCCACTGCAGAAATTCTTTAGATTAGAATTATTACTTACTGGTATAGTGACCTGGTGATAAGACCAAGCAACTGCAGTCATGGAGTTAGTTGATGTAACACAAGGTTGATTAAACAACATACTGTGCTAAATTGCTCCGTAAAGAAACAGTCATAATAATTGTTAAAGTTCGCGCTTAGAGTTGTGTTAACATTCATTTTAAAGCTAATGAATCCATGATTCCAGTGGTTACATTAAAATTTCAGTGTGAGTGGAATTACTTAAATTACAAGCAAAAATATTTTAAATAATTCTGTCTAACGGTCTTGTAACTGACCTACGACAACTCGCGGATAGCTCGCTGCTGTGAGTCACCGCACCTACCGGCCGATCTTCGTCACCGCCGCTCGCTACGTATTGCTTTGTTAAGTACTGTCAACCACAGCGCTAAGATGGCACCAACCAAAGCGTCCTGCGCGGGATGTCACAACGATGTGACTAATGACGGCGCTTATATGAAGTGTACTCAATGTAAGCAAATTTTTGACATATTTTGTGGTAATCTTAGTCCTGAAAAGTTTGCTAATTTTTCGGTGGAATTTAAGAGGTCCTGGATTTACGTTGAATGTCGTAGTAGAATACCTAAGGGCAATAATTCGCAAACCCCTGTACGCACGCATCAATACTTAGACCAAAGTATGTCTAGTCCGACTGAAAATGTCAATATGCTCCGTGGCGGAACCCGGTTTAAGCAATCTCCTAAGCAGAACCTGACATCAAGCTATGTTCTAAACGAAATTAAGGAAACTGTCGTACTGGAACTGAGGAAAACGCAAGCCAATTTTGAAGAGCAACTTACTGAAAAAATTAACAAATTACTTGCTGAGCAATTTTTGGCGCTAAAAAATGAATTTTTAGAAAAGATCAATATGGTGACGACTAAAATCCAACAATTAGAAGTAACGCTTATGACAAAAGCAGACACTTATAAGGATGCAATAACTAAGAATTTGAGTTTAAATACAACATCAATTAAAGCTGGTCATAAAACTAAAACTCAGTCCCAGATGAAAGCAAAGTCCGTCGTACAAAATGAAAAACCAAGTACCTCGCTTGCAGATTCAGTACCTGATGCAGATAGAACTATGCAGAAGTCCCGCTCTAAATCCACTCCTGCAGTTGGCGATCCTGACTCCGATAATCTTCACAAAGGCGGATGGATGGAGGTAAGACGCAGACGATCTCGTACTTCGCTTCCTGGCGTACTTAGAAGTACCGCAGCGCCTGGATCGACACCACTTCAAGCTGCTGCTATGTGGAAATACCTACATCTGTACTATCTTCAAGAAGATACCACTGTGGAACAGGTGCGGGATCACCTTAGTATTATATGTCACGGTGACATGAGTACCGTCGAGAAGCTGAAGTCCCGTGGGCGCTATGCTTCTTTTAAGATCGGTATTCCTCTTGAAATTGCTGAAACTGTCATGTCATTTGGCAACTGGGCTGAAGGCATATGTGTTAAGCCTTGGCGTCATTACTTTCGTGTCAAAATCAACAGCCAACAAGCACCCTCCGAGAGTAAGTGAGTTAAGGATTTTTTATCAGAATATTCGAGGCCTAAGATCTAAAAAAAGTACATTTATGAAGAATGTTACACATAGTGAATTTGATATCATAGGGTTGACTGAGACCTTTTTAACTAGTTCAGTATTTGATAGCGAACTTTTCCCTCCTGGTTACACGGTAATACGTAAAGATAGAGCGAACGATACTGGGTGGAGGGGGGGGTGTTATTCCGTTCGGGTTGTTACTGAAATTGATCGTATGACTAACGACAAAGAATTAATATTTGTAATTATTAATTGCAAAAATATTAAAATATTATGCTGTCTTGTATACTTACCTCCGAGCTATAATGACGTTCAATATTTAAATGTTTTGGCCTGTATTGAAGATGTTATTTTTACATACACCGACATGAATGTATTAATTTTGGGTGATTTCAATTTGAATTCTTGTAGTGCTAATGTAAAGACTCAATTTGATTTTTTTTGTAATTTTTGTTCGCTCCACCAATTTAATACAGTGTTAAATAGACGAGGCGGTATGTTGGATCTCTTACTCAGCAATTTAGAGCCCAGTCAATTAAGTGTGTCTCTAAATTTAGACCCTCTGGTAGAAATTGATGAATATCATCCCGCGCTTGATATTATAATCAAGCTTCCACTCGCTTTTTCAAAATTCATTTCTTCTCCTACTTCGCCAACGTCATCCCTTTCCAATACGCAGAGCTACCGCTGGAACTGGCGCAAGGCGGATTTTCATGGTCTGTATGCGGCTTTATCCAAATTAGATTGGTCAGATTTACTTAAAGAAATTGATATTGACTGTGCTGTTCAGTTGTACTACGAGAAATTGTACAACTGTATAAATCTCTTTGTACCCGTTTCTTTGCGCACTACCACTAATCACCGATATGTATATCCTAAATGGTATACTGCTGAAATTATAAATAATATTAAAAGTAAATACTATCATCTTAAGAAGTATAAAAAGGAAGGTAAAGAATTCAATAGGCAAATGTTTAAGTATTATAGGGAGCAGGTAAAAAAACTAATAGATAGGGAATATAGGCAATACCTCAAAACGGTACAACGTAATATTATTAACGATCCAGTCAAATTTTGGGATTACGTTAAAGACAAAAAATCAGGAGGTAGAAGACGTACGGATACTTATATATATAAGGATACTGAAGTAGAGGGGCAGGCTGCTGCTGATGCCTTTGCAGAAATTTTCAGCTCTGTGTTTCATCCGAATATACCCGTTTTGGATCCTATTAAGGCTGTTCAAGCTGCACATTTTAACCAGGACATTACGTCCGTATCTATAAACGCCGTCGATACGAGGGATTTGAAGGAGGCTGTGAAACGTCTCAAACCGCGTTCATCCAGTGGGCCTGATGGCATTCCTAGTTTCTTGGCTAAAGATTGTAAAGCTGTACTGAAGGGGCCTCTCTTGCATCTCTTTAACCTTTCACTAGCTAATGCTAGGTACCCTCAAATTTGGAAATGTTCCAGGGTTACCCCAGTGCCGAAAGTTGATGGGAGTATGAACGTATCAGAATTTAGGCCAATTGCTGTCTTATCAGTGTTTACCAAATATTTGAGTCAATTCTCAGATATTAATAATCTGGTTGGTCATTTGTTACACAATAGCCAACACGGTTTCCGTAAGGCTCGTTCTACTACTACGAACTTAATTGCACATGTAGACTACATATATAAGGAGATAGACAGTTACAAACAAGTAGACACGGCATACTTCGATTTCAGGAAGGCCTTCGACCTCGTCGACAACGACAAATTGTTAGAAAAGTTGGCATTTATTGGCCCCCCAAACTCATTCGGTTTTTCGCATGCTTTCTGAATAATCGATGTCAGTATGTGCGGGTGAACGGGTATAATTCCAGCGATTACTTCACGAGATCAGGTGTTAGTCAGGGCAGTACGTTGGGTCCAACCCTCTTCCTGCTCTTTATTAATGATCTGCCCAACACCGTTTCTTTTTCTGAATGTCTCCTCTTTGCTGATGACTTAGAACTCAGTCTGGGTATTGAATCTGAATCAGATACCATAAATTTACAAAGAGACATTGATGCGGTGTTGAGTTGGAGCCAAGAAAATATATTACCATTAAATAATAATAAATGCAAAGTAATTACTTTCACTCGAAAACCTAGACCAATTGTAAATGTATATAGCTTACTTGACGCTCCTCTGGAAAGAGTAAATAATATTCGAGACTTAGGGCTGTTATTAGATTCCAAATTGGACTTTCATCTTCACATGACAAGTATCTGTAAGAACGCACATAGAATGTTAGGTTTTGTTATTAGGACTGGAACACAATTTGACAATGAAGTAGTTGCTAAAATAATGTTTAACGCATTTGTTCGTAGCAAGCTGGAATATGGTGCTGTTGTCTGGGACCCGTTTGAGGACAAGTATGTCCTTATGGTCGAGAAGATACAGTGTAAGTTTGCCCATTGGTGCTTTCGTTGGCAATACGGGTACTATCCTCACCTGTATCCTTCTTTGTTTGTATCAGGCATGGTTGGTATGGAAACTTTAAAATTTAGGAGGGTTATGCTAATGCTGTCACATTATCTCTCTGTACTCTATCATAAGATCGATAGTCCGCAAATACTAGAGAGTGTACGCATCTTAGTTCCCCGTAATATACAACAGGAGTCAGGGCTGCAGCTAGCACCGCGCCGCCGGCCTCGTTAATATGTTGGCCTCGCGCCCTGTCGCACGCACCAGGCGCGGCGAGCACGCGCCTACTATTCGCGAATTACGAATGATTGGTGACATACGTGCTCAGTACGATGATCTTGACTTATTTGCTGATGGATTGAGTACACTTATAAGTAAATTAAGAAATATTGTAATTGACATTTTATAAATTTTTATTCTTGACATTGATTATTATAACTACTATTCTAATGATGTATACTATTTTGTTTGACTATTTTGGTCTTTTTTGTTTAATTAATTTGACTATTTTCGTTTTATTAATTTGATTATATTCGTTTTATATTTTTTATTATTTTATTTGTTCTGAAATTATTTCAACTTAATTTTTTTATTTTAATTTTAATTTAATGTGATTTATTCGGTAAAATTAATTATAAATTAAAATAGACAATTTTAACTTAATGTATCTAATGTTGCAAGTGTGTTGGATGATATCATCTGTTAGCTTGTAGGCATGTATCTTATAAATAAATAAATAAATAAATAGTGTATGGTCGTTTGACCGCAGTGGATCTATCAATACTACATTTGTGTTACTTCAACGCATCAAAGGCCATGAATGTAAGTGTTTATTCTATTGACAAACTTACTTTTCTTTCTGTTATTTTCTTACGTGTGTATGATTTAGTGTTAACAAATTATATTTAAATATTGTGTGTGTGTGTGTGTGTGTGTGTGTGTGTGTGTGTGTGTGTGTGAGTGTGTGTGTGTGTGTGTGTGTGTGTGTGTGTGTGTATGATTAAGCCGTGGTAGCTCAGATGGTTAGCGCAAGCTGTAAATTTCACAGTACGCGACCCGGGTTGGATCCCCGCCGGCACCAATTAAATTGTTAATTGCAATTTTAAGTGTTTATTATATTGACAAACTTACTTTTCTTTCTGTTATTTTCTTACGTGTGTATGATTTAGTGTTAACAAATTATATTTAAATATTGTGTGTGTACCGAATCTACGAATACTAGAGTAGTTAAAAAATGCTTTCTTTAACAATGACAGTCATTAGTTGATCATTAGTGAATGTGATTCTGTTTACTTAAATTACAGGAAGACAAGAGCAGAAGGAAGAAATGGGATGATGGGAAGTAATGAAGCATTGTTATGTGAAGTTTGTTGGAACAAACATATTTTTAGTCACGTGTAAATACTTTTAACAATTTGGTTCAAAATGACACAAAATCTAACAAATATTAGATACATCATCGATATGGACGGATTTTACATTACATACCCTCATAAACATTTTCAATGTAGAGAAATGGCTATTCTAGACGTAAAACTATCTAATAAAAATGATGCGTTTATCGATCATTATTTGTTTCGGCCAAGTTATCCTTTCAATTGTTTGTCGCCAAAAGACAAAAAAACTGTTCGTTATTGTGAAACACACGTGCACGGCATTCCATATTTTGATGTGACCGAAGAATTAAAATGTGCCTACAAACAAGAGAACATCATTCCCATATTGAATTGGTATATTAGAAATTTGTGCAAAGACGAAGTGATCGCATACAAAGGTGATTCAACAGAAAAACAATATTTAAAAATGTTGACGACTAATGATAGAATTTTTAATATTGAATGTCCAAAATACAATGATTTGGTAAATGTAATAAATTTAAACAAACGTTATGTGTGTAATAATCATATATTTACAAAAAATAATCACAAAATTTTACATTGTTCTTGTAACGAAGTGTGGGTTAACTACTATAGTCTACAGTAACATTTCTGTTTTTATCTATCTCAATAATATTATCAAACTCAGCATAAACTATACAGTTAATTGTTTGTATTAGTGAGGATTCAAATCGTACTTCTAATCTTACACTACCATGCTTTATGAGATTCCAATGAGCTGATGAGTTGGCTGATAAATCAGGACTTAAGTCAAATGCTAACAGACAGTAAGCTTTGGCATACTGTTCACAAGAGATTCCATTACCTTCATTAAGAAAGTGAATACCAGTTCCCAAGAATAGAGTACGATATGCTGATGTAAATATACTATTATTAAAAGATGGTTATTTGTTGAGTTTCACCATCAAACATATTAAGATTTGGAATTTCTTGATGATAGTTAACATTTGGTAAATTATATAAAGGTTGCATTTCATCAGAGCACGATGTGATCTGATTAAAATCACAATTACATATTTCTGTAATTCATTTTAGATAGATCCACTGCGGTCAAACGACCATACACTAACTCCATGACTGCAGCTGCTCGGTCTTATATAGTACCAGTAAGTAATAATTCTAATCTAAAGAATTTCTGCAGTGAAACTGATAGTAATTTTATGCGTCAACAAGCTTATCTCACATTCTGTAGTATATCTCAACATTCCTTCGTGTTGCTTCTTGCTCAATGTATCGATCACTCAAATACGATTTGTATATCACAAAGAATGCAATTTAATATTTAGAAATCACTATAATTGATCATTCCTATGTTAGTCATTGAGTAGATTGTAATGTAATAATCTACTTATAGCAGTAATATCATGGATACACTAGATGTACAACAATATCTGAAAAAGATTCACCCCAGTCTAGAAAATAATGTTTATGCTGCTAATAGACTGCCCATGTACACCCACGTACCAACGTATATAATATGCAATTTGGATACAGATGATAAACCAGGGTCACATTGGGTAGCTTTATATATCGATACGAATGACGTCGGTCAATATTTTGATTCATACGGACGAGCACCTGTACGATATCATCTAGAGTTTTTAAAAAGGAATTGTAAAAGATGGAACTGGAATGTTGATAGGATTCAGAATGAGTGGACTCCAGTTTGTGGCGAATATTGCTTAATGTATTTACTGTATAAGTTTCGGGATGTTCAATGCATAGTTTTAAGAGTATATTTACAGGGAACACATTGTGCAACGATATTTTAGTGAATGAGATGTTTCGCTCCTATTTTATAGATAATAAGTAATAAGATTTTGTATCAGTTTGTGGCGAATATTGCTTAATGTATTTGCTATATAAGTTTCAGGGATGTTCAATGCATAGTTTTACGAGTATATTTACAGGGAACACATTGTACAACGATATTTTAGTGGATGAGATGTTTCGCTCTTATTTTATAGATTTCGATTAATAAGATTTTGTATGTCGTAAATAAAAATTGTAACAAAATTAAGTAATGTATTTATTGATGATTCAGATTACCGTTGCAGTTAGAAACAAAGGAGTATAATAGCACTGATAATCCGACGCACGAATCGATCATTACGGTATTCAATGAAAAATAGATAAGAACAATGGAACTCTAATGACGGTGGAGGCCCTCACCGGATATCAATTAGATAAGAGTTAATTGATCTGCACATCTCCGGAACCGTGCATCCTACGCAAAAATGGACCGCAGATTCATGATCAGAGCACGCCAAAACCTTTTTTTTTTAAGATCGTGAGGCGACGAACGTTGTACTTGTACCACTTCTGACTCAGTGAGCCAGAACTAGTACAACATAACTACTATAGTGACTCCCAACGGATAGATCTTAAGATGAATATGAGTCATGTGTAATATCCATGACACACCTATGCCGACAGTTCTTGGCAGTACTACGCTGGAAGTTGTTAACGAGTATGTTATAAACATATATGTATAAGACCTATTTTCCGATTAGGTAGGTCCAACTTCGACCGAGGGGTCATTTGAAGGATCCTTCTCATGTAGGTGCAGCGTTCGGGAGATTAAGGCACACCTCGTAACGTATATCTCAAACTATGAAAACAAGTGGGCACAACCAGTGCGTGGTGCATGTGATGACATAATACGTATCAGAGACATAGTCTTTTATCGCTGGTCTTATGATCTATATCTAGCTATATCACATCCATAAATACCCCATAGGGGGGATATTTGCCATAACTGCCACGCTTTACCATGCTTTGCCAGCGGGTTTGCAACCGCAGCTTTTAATTTTTCGTCGTTATTAAGAAGACACAGTTGCATAAAATATGCTCCGCAAAAATCCGTAAAGTTCATTTTATTCAAGACTAGCAACCCACGTTAAATGTTAAACCAGACTGTTTTACTTGATAAACTTTTCGATTTATTAAAATAAATCTTAGTTTTTCGGATAAAGTATAGGCTGGATCACTCCTGATGTTGCTCTCCATTTGTTAGGGAAGTTACGATGCAATCGGTTCAGCCACACAGACAGACAGCAGGCAAAATTAAAAAATATATATTATGCGTGTCTCAGAGACGTGCAAATAAACCTTTTAGCTCGATAAAGACGGTTATATGAATAGTAGAGACATACACAATTTTATTTATACGTATGGGATAGATGATGATTTCTGTCAAATATAGTTGTTTGAGCGGCATTGAAATAATTTATTACACTATTCTCGATTCTCCTAAACCAAAAAGTGTACAAGCTTTAAAGTACTGATATGCAACATGTTAATAATGTTTAATCACTCAAAGACCAACAATGATATGAGGCAATTATGATCGACGCGCGCAACGTTCCGCAGAGTGAGCACAACTCACGCGCTGTATCGTGCGTGTTCGATTCATCACAATTTGTATTAAATTGTATGATGCTGAATCTTTTGTTAATGAAACTGGAGTGACAAATTAATTTACACTCCACCTGACGATAGGTGGCGTCAGCTGTCCGTGAACACCTGCAGCTAACTTTATGCAGGGAAAGCTATAGACTTTGAGGACTTAGATGGAATGCCTCACAGCCAGTAATATGCTGGCTCGCTACGCACTTCAGACCGGAGCACAGCTGAGCGAGCACTGCTGTGTGGCGGGAATAGGTAATAGGGTTGTAACTACCTAGACGAATTCCTGGGCAGACAAGAAGAAAAAGGAGTCATAATACCACTTAAGTTACGGTTTTTTTTCTAAAAAAACCTTACCTCAACAATAGGATTTTTTCCTGTATCGTGGGGGCAGGTTACACATACTTATGTAAATTCCGCAAGGACAAACATCCAAGCCTAGAACAATTATTTGTAGGCCATACAAATACTTGTTCCGTCAGCGCTGGAACTCACTGCTATACCACTGCGCCACAGAGCCGTCAACTGGTTGGTTGGAACTAATAGGTTACATAGATAAGATAACGAGTGGAATAATTTGCCGGCATCTGTCTTTTCGTCCGAATACGATTTAGGCGTCCTTAAGGTAAAAGTGAATATGCTTTTGTTCCGGTCAGACAGCGCGATACCATCAAGGGCTTCATCACCACTTAAAATGAGTAAAATATGATTAGGTATCTGGGATATATAAACATCAATTGCTGTCCGACAGTTTCGCAAAAACTCGGAAATGTCGGGACCGATTTTGATGAAAGGTTTTATAGTGTGTGAAACCGAGGCAAATCGCTAGTGTGGATATAAAGAATATTCCAATTGTTAATTCATAGTATGTCCTAGTTCCTAGTTAGACTAGGATTATTGGGTTTGTGTAGGCTGTGTAATGTGTAAGCTTTGTACGGGCTCGCCACTTATCATTTCTTCCGCAATTTCACATGTGTATTCATATTTATTGACCAGAAGTGGTTCAAGTCGCACGCTTTTGGCGCTACGGCTAGTACCACTTACCATACCATGCTGTGGCACATAAACATTTACATCTATCCTTTATATCATATTAGTTTTTAGGGGTGACACACATCCATTTTGATTCTTAATCTATAAGAATGGATATGTGTCACCCCTGAGAACTAAGATAGAATGCCTCGTTGACAGTAAAAAGAGTCTCCGGTTTTTTACAATCACCATAAGAAACACAGTAGCATTTAACATTTTGATTCTTGATTGAAGAAAAAATGTAGATCTCTATGGGCCATTGTGTCCATTTACCATCATGCGAACTGTGTGTTCATTTGTCATTATTCTAAAGAGTATCCCAGGTGAATTTGTCAAAAAGAACAGAAATGTTTTGTGAAATGAGGTGGTGCGAAAATCCGAAAAATTGGTTTTATTTAATTTCTTGTAATTTAGTTAAACACAAACCTATCATCACTGAGAATGTTTTTGATGTAGTTTCGTATTCTTTAATCAAAACAATATATAATATAATAATCTTCAAGAAATAT